CGTTGGATGAATATGTCCCTTACCTGATTGTCACTTGGTGTCCCCTCTCATATCTAACCCCGTCCCTGTTTTTTTTTTTTTTTTTTGACCCACAGATGACCGGGAGCGCTGGGGGTCATCATCTCCTCCGCTGCCGCCGGCTCCGGCTCCGGGCCTGGCTCCGGGCCTGGCTCCGCCTCCGGGTCCGCTGCCGACGGCGCTGGATGACATGATGACGTCCCCACCCGCGCCACTCCACCTCAGCGGGCCGCCTCGAGCCGTCACTGAAGGTTAGTACTCACAGAGGTTCATAGGTGGCAGCACCAAGCACACCGAACTGGACAGATGGCGATGAGGCAGGGGCCAGGGGTATTTGTGGAAATAATTTGCTCTGAGGGTCACGCTCGTTTTAATGGTCTCCAGAATCAATGTGTATAGTTACAATATCAAGGCTCATTGTCAAGTATGACATTCTCTGTTTGATAAGTAGGTAAATGTCAACACTTACCGTTCAGTTTACGATTATTAGGTACCATACCTTTTCAGAAGCAATTATGCCTAACAATGCTGTGCTCAGTAACCGCAAACAATGACTGGTGTTTCTTGTTGCAGGGCTTTGAGGCTAGTTCAAGCCGTGTCTATCTGGAATAATGTTGCAACACATATCACTCTAGGACAAGTTGGTGTGACGTCCGGCGCCTACCGTGCGGTGTCCAGCCTAGGTGGCGCTGCGGGCGCTCTGGACGCCGCTGTTCCTACACATGCTAGTCGAGAGCTGGGGAGAGAGAGAAGAAACAAGACACGCGCCGCTGTAACCCTCGTGTCCAAAGACTGGCGCGAAGTCAACGAGAGACGCACTCGAGTCACGCTTATTGAAACTGGCGTGCGGAAAGGCGACTCTCGTTGTGGACCGTTCCGCCTCACCTGGGAGGCAAAGCTACGCGAGCGTCATCTATACAGCTCGCGCGGTGCATTTGCTGACTAGCGCGTCATCTATAAAACTATGAGGAAGTGTTAGTTCGCTTTGTGGCCGCCTGTGCTCGCTTCTGTGCCGAGTGCCGGCAGGTGAATGTTGTCGCTGTGAGGAAGGTGTGTCGGTGTCTATTTGTGTGTTTGTGTGGATGTTTGTAAATACCGAGTTGGTCCCTTGCCCCCGGCGCCGGCGGGTCGTTAGCCCCTGTGGCAGTGTTGGGCATGTGTCGTTGTTGCTGGTTGTTGTTGTTACATGTATCATACCGGTGGCAACGCCAGCGGTACCATTGTCTGCGCGCGCCCGTGTATTTATTTGAGCACCCGTATATGCAACGTTTTGTGGGTGAGCAGCAGCACCTCAGCCGCCACAGCGGCCACCTCGTCATTACCAGCCTGTTCCGCTGGCCCCGCAAACGGCACGCAAGTCGCTGGCTTCTGGCCTGTTCACGGGGTCTATGTTTCCTCTGTTTTCTGATCTGTGACGCGTGATACGGTATCATGCAATTAAGTCCAGGTTGGCATTATGAGTTCACAGAAGAAATGAGTTCCAACGATGAGTTGCGATCCAAACCGGATCACACGTTTTAACTATCCCAGATTACCAGTTATCGTATCTAATTTATTTCTATCAACTTTCCAATTTCCATGCTGCTTACTGTCGAATCTGGATAAATGTTCTGTGATATATAGACAAGATCTGGCGCAAAATCATTCCATTAGCCGTCGGTGGGACTTAAGTTGTATAACGGGCAGTTCTCTGGGCACTACCCCCCGCACAGGGGTGACCCGGGTGCCTACAGAGCTCCGCGGTCAGCGCGGACCACCCTACCGAATGGAACGGCTTCGCTCGCCCCTCCAATGCGACCCCCACTCCGACCCTAGTGTGTAAATACCTTATGGATACGCCAACTTTTGGATTCGACCCCTTCAGTGTGCTGTAGTGACATGTTTTTCAAATAAACTTGACCAATATCACACGAGGTATCGGACTTTGGAAGGCGGGTGGGGCCACAAGCCCATAGGACAGAGCTTATCAGCTGTAGTTGGTACTACGGTCACCAGATGGCAGCGATACCGGTGCACACAGCATGGTCGTGGTGTTTCAGCGACACCATCTCTTCTGAAACCCTTGAAATTTCCATTTCACGAAGTTGTGGACACAATAGTGGTCGGACAGATATGCTTAACTGTACTGAACTAAGATGCATTTACGTGGAGTACCTATTTATAAAATGAAAAAGCTAAAGTCTGACGGAAGTAGAAAGTAGGTGGAGTTTTATCGATTTATCACTCGATTTATCATCTGCGGTGATTTCAACAGCTTTCCAGTTGAGTCCCTCTGCCGGCTCAATGGTTTGCATCAAATTGTAACAGCCCCCACGCACGGGGACTCAGTTCTGGACCTCATCCTGACCGATCTGGGTGACTATTATCACGAGCCTGTGATGCTGTCGCCCCTCGGGCGCTCCAAGCACGTCATCGTGCACGCTCGACCGCGCACCATCCAGCCGACACCGAGGGAACGAACGACCGTGCGAATGCTGCCGGACTCGGGAGTTAGAGCATTCGGCAGGTGGATCACAGCACATGACTGGACCCCCGTATATGAGGCGTCTTCCCCCGATGAACAGGTGGCGGTGCTGCAGTCAACGCTCTCCACTGCTCTAGACCGATTTCTGCCTACCAAGACATTGCCAGTGCGACATCGAGGGAAGCCTCACATCACCGCCACCGTCCGACACGCCATTTCCCAGAAGCACAGAGTTTTCCGACTCGAGGGCATGTCCGACCGGTGGCGACATCTACGAAATAAGGCCACTCATCTGTGCCGCAAAGCCAAGGCGGAATTCTACGACAGGAAAATACGAGGAATGAGGACAGCAAAGCCGGCTACTTGGTACCGTCAAATCAAGAGTCTGACCGGCCGAGTAAAGAACGAACAGCTAAACTTCGCTGAGTATGAGACTGGTGGGGCGCTGGCGGAAGCGGTCAACCAGCACTTCGCATCTATCTCATCCCAGCTGCCGGCACTCAACCTGGAGGAATTCCCTGCCTACCTACCGGCGGACGCACCCCCACCGGTCATCCGACGAGCTGACGTCCAGAGGGAACTGAGCAGCATCCGCTCCAACATCTCCACCACACCGAATGAGCTACCAGCACGGCTGGTCAAGGAGTTTGCCTTCGAATTATCGCAGCCACTCACTCACATCTTCAACTCCTCGCTATCCTCCGGAAAATTTCCGTCTGCTTGGAAGCTATCCTTCATCACCCCCATTCCCAAGGTCAACCCTCCAACCTCTTTCAACGATCTTAGACCCATTTCACTCACCCCGCTCTTCTCCAAAATCTTTGAAGGATTTTTGACAACCTGGATCATGGCTGACATTACCCCATCACTTGACCCACACCAGTTCGGAAACAGGCCAGGCTACTCTACGGTACATTACCTGATCTCGCTATATGACTTCCTGGCTAAGAACACAGACAGCTCTTCAAACGCTGCGGCCATCCTGGCGATCGATTTTTCCAAGGCCTTCGACCTGGTTAGCCATGATGTCGTGCTCAGGAAACTACTGGACCAGCAAGTTCGTCCCTCCATCGTGCCTACAGTAGCCAGCTTCCTCAACGAGCGGAAACAGGTCGTTCGACTTGGTGGCTCGAATCCTGTCTCATCAGAGCTCACTACCACGTGTGGAACGCCCCAAGGGACAAAAATCGCCCCGATTGCATTTTTGGCTCATATAAATGACTGCGCAGTTACCGAAGATCATCGATGGAAGTATGTGGACGACCTCAGTATCGGCATCCTGTCTCCTGCAAGAGATGCAAACATTGTCCTTCAGAAAGCCCAGACGGCCGCATCCACTCTGGAAACATGGTCAGAGAACAATCTCATGAAGATCAACGGAAAAAAGTGTCATATACTCATCTGCAACTTCTCTCACAACACGGATATGGACGGCGCAGTAATCATTAACAACGAACCAGTACCTGTCGTCTCTACCATGAAACTTCTCGGAGTCCATATTACTTCTGACTTAAAGTGGACGGCAAATACAAATCATATCACAAAAAAACGCCTCTCGCAGGCTGTTCATGCTCACAGTCCTCCGTCAGTTCCATGCAGATCTGAGCGATATCCGCGCCGTCTACATCAGCTTCATTCGTCCATGTCTGGAATACTGCTCTCAACTGTGGCACACGGGACTGACACAGCAACAAGCACAGGCAATCGAGCAAGTTCAGAAAAGAGCTTGCAAAATCATGATAGGATACGAAAACTACACCGACTACGCCTCTGCCTGCCAGCTCCTCAACCTCGAAACTCTGAGTGAGCGTCGCGATGCTGTCCTCTGCAAGCTGGCGGCCGACATCCTCGCCAACCCCGCCCACCCACTGTACCCGGGCGAGCAGCTGGCAAATGTGAGGCGCCCTCTGCGCCGGCAGCGAAAGTTTGTCGTACCGCGGGCCAAAACTGAGCGGTATAAAAAGTCCACTGTGCCTGTACTCATAGATCTAATGAACAGGATGTGATCCCCACGTAGATATGTTCGGAGCTCTTGTGAAATGCACTGTGTTTTTAATTTTTGTGATGCTTTTCACTTCTTCATGTGGTGCCACCATTGCACAGCTCATGTACGGCCTTTTTACCAGTCGTTGACTGTCACGTGGTCAAATAAACCTTTATGTATGTATGTATGTATGTATGAGTGGTCAGATGGAGCTACACCGCACTTTCAGCGTTCTGAAGGAGGAGCAGTAATGGGTGAAAAGCAGCAGCTGGCATTGCTCGAGAGAACGCAAACCTTCAAGCGAGAATGCAAAACGAGATCCGTCTGCCGAACAATGCGGAACAAATTGATCGTGGTTACAAATTTCTAGCATATTAGTTAAGCAGTCAGCATCTAGGCAGGAAACCGTGCCACTAATTAGTTCAGAGGGCAAAACGGAATAAAAATTACGCTACTCGTCCAGCGGTGTGCGAACCACTTCTAATCATCGTGTCATTCTAGCCCAGCCCAGCGCCTCCGCGAGACACGCCGCGCTGGACAGACGCCATTTATTGTGGACACGTGACGGGGACAGCGCGCCGGGGCACGGCCGGCGAGCGCGCAGCGCGCCGGGCGCCCGCCACCTCCGCCCGACGGGCTATCAATGAACCGGGCACTCAGTGCGGAAACGTACAAACTCACGCACACATGAGACGCGCCACGCAGACACGTCGACGCCGCTACTGTTTAGAAAACCGGCTACAAACGAGCGAACGCGCGCGAGATAGAACGACAGGCCCGCCCCCACCCGTCCCCAGGACACCATTATCGTGCAAAAGCAGCTGTAGGCAACGGCAAATACATAAATAGATGTCTGATTTTGGATTGACCGCAGCTGCGGCGAACCGCCGGGGCGGGCGGCGTGGCCCCACACAACGCTATCCGCGCGATATCTTGAACATCATCGCAGCACATGGGATGAGATACGGCCGACATGATTGGCTACGGCGGCGGCGCGCCAGTACCGGGTATGGATGGAGCTGCGGTGTCCGGACCGGCCGGCGGCGGTCCGGCCCGGCTTCTGTCCCCCTCAGTTCATCACGGAGCGGCGTCACCGCGATACTGCCTGTCCCGCTGACAGACCTCGGAATAACCACTGCGGTGTCCCGAGCACACATCAACACCAGCTGATCTGCTGAGCTCACCTGTTACACGCCAGCTCACGCTGTTACTCACCGAGCGCAGGCTTGTCCGCAGGCGTGTCGTCTTTGTACCAGCCGAGTGACGAGGGTGACGGCGGCGGCTACTTCTTGCTGGACGAGCCGCCCCAGCCTGGCGGCAGCGCCTGTGCCGGCAGCATGTCCAGTAGATACTGACGCTGGATGTCAGCCAGCGACTGCGTGGTCTTGGAGGAGCCGCTGCTGCTGCTGCTGCCACCGGCCGCCGCGCCGCCCGCCTGGGCTGCCTGCGCCATCGCCAGCTGGTACGAGTACATGATGGGGTTGAGCTGGCCAAGCATATGCTGCAGCGCTGCCTGGCCGTGCGCGCCGGGCAGACGGAGCATCTGCTGCTGAGCCGCCAGCGCCGCGGCAGACTGGTTCATGGCCGCCGCCATCATCATCGGGTTCATCAGCGCTGAGGCGTACTTGGGGTCGGAGAACTTCTTCAGATACTCAGCCTCCGCGGCGGCCAGCTTGTTGGCACTAGACGTACGCGAGTGGTGGGCCTCGCGCGGCTGGTGGGCCTCCCGCGCATGGTACGCGTCTCGGCCGGTGTGTGGCGAGCTGCGAGCGGAGTGGTGCGCCTCGCGAGCCGAGTGGTGCGCGTCGCGACTGCTGTGTGACGAGTGGTGACCGTCTCGCGAGCTGTGTGACGAGTGGTGACCGTCTCGGGAGCTGTGGGACGAGTGGTGAGAGTCACGGCCGTGGTGCGAGTCGCGGTGGTGCGAGTCGCGCTCGCGTTTGGCCGGGATCGGAGTGATGGTCGTCTCAGGAGTGGGCGGCATAGGAGTGGAGGCGCTGGACGGCGCCGGGGAGGCAGCCGCCATTTTGGCTAGCTGTTGCTCAATCTCCTGTTCTTGTTGGAGTGCCTTCACGAATGCCGTCTTGAGGCGACTGGTATGCTCGGCCTTCAGCTTCTTCTTGATGTTGCTGGTGACGCATTCCTCGCAGGTGACGCGGCCGGGCCGGTTTCGGTCCCATTTCCAGACAGTCGTGAAGTCGCGCCGACACTGGCTGCACGAAAAGTTCTCCCAATTGGTCGTGTCCGGATTTTCAGACTTGATGAAATCCACCACCTTCTCCAGACCAAGTAGGTACACAAACGGCGTATTGGTGCCGCTCGGAATGAAGCCCATCTCAGGCGGCGGCGGCTTGGGCGGCGGGATCTGCAGCAGCGTCTTCTCCAGCTGTTTCCGCAGCGCCAGCTTGGCCACCTGTTGACGCTGCTCGGGGGTCTGTTCGGGCACACGGTGGTGCGCCGGCTCGGGTGCCCGGTGCGCCGCCGAGTCACGTCGGATCTCCACCTCGGGGGTGAGCGGGTACGAGCCGTACGCTCCAGCGAACTGGGCGTGCGGCGAGCCGGCCTGGCTCTTAAGCAGCCCGTGCTGGGCGGCCATCAGACTGGAGAGGGTGGTGTGCGCGCTGGCGCCGCGGCCCGTCGGGATCACCGACACAGAGCTGGTGCCGGAGTTGCCGCTGGTGACACCACCGCGTGAGCTCGACTTGGTGCTGCCGCTGGAGCTCTTCACCAGCATGGTGACGCTCGGCGGAGGGGTAAAGCCAGGTGTGGACGCCGTCTTGGCCGCCTTAGCCGCCGGCGGTGTCTTGAGCGGAGGCGTGGCCGCCACGTTCTCCTTGGCCTGTACCTGCCGCACTCGCTTCAGCAGCACCAGCTTGCTCTCCTCATTGCGCAGCTCCTCCCGAAAGCGGCGGATCAGCTCCATCTTCTCGGCCAGCTCGGCCGGCGACAGCTCCTTGATGGGCGGCAGCGGCTTCTCCACGTCATCGTCGTCCGACTCCTCGACCACCACCATCTCGGTGGCCTCCGTGTAGTTTTTCTCGGTCCGCGGCCGCAGCGAGCGGCGTCCGTCGGCAGCCGGCGCCGGGCGCTTACCGTCCCCACCGCCCTCGCCCATCCTGGTGACGGTGATACCCCGGCTAGAGAGGTCCATGATCGCCTCGCCCACCTTGGAGGCGGGGTCTCTCTTCACGCTCAGGTCCATGGCGCCTGCCGGCCGTGCCGTCAGTTCAGGCGGCCTCCTGGGCCACCAGTGTCGGCGTCTGGGTCACTCTGGAGCAGAGCAGAGACAAATTGCGTCAGGAAAGACCTTGAGACGTAGCATGTAAGGGCAGACACAGGGGTCGTGATATACTGGGTCAGACACCAGAGACGAGTCACATCGGGCCAGGAGAAGACCATAGCGTTGGTTTTAGCTCTAACATGACCAAGATTCAGGGATTCAGGGATTCAGCACATAATGCAGGGAATGGAAGCAAGCATTTATGCAGAAGTTAAGTTGGTACCAAACCAATGAAATCCAATAACTGAATAACTCCATTCTATCTAACACAGCTTTCAAGTTCATTGTAGTCTTTAAATCTCATAAGCATCTTGGGTTTGGTAAATTAATGATAATTTGCCAGACCCTGGAGCTTCTTGGTAAGGATCTGCGGAGACTTCAGCCTGAAAAATTGAAGGTATAGTGGTACATATTCAGCTGAAATACAGTATGTATTTAATGGATGGTTGATATAAAATATTGAAGCTTGTATATTCAATTATAGGTACGTATTTACTAACTGCTTTATGCTTAGTTAATACAATTAAGGTTTAACCATTAAATGTTTTACAAAAAAGCTATGAATTTACAGTGCAAGTCTTAACATGGATTAGCAATGGTGCAGACACTATCATGTTGTAACAACACATCATGTGCAAGGTAAGTACACTAAAATGCAAGATGAAACTACACTAAAATGCAGCAGAATTTATCAGTACTGAGGGCTATAGGTTAGGTAGGTAAGCTGTACAGCACCTTCAACTTTTAAGTATGTTGTATGTTGTACCCTAGGAAGGTAGGCTCTTGGTTAGTAGGTTGCACGCTAGATTCTTGCAACTTGTAAGCTGCTTTATAGGTTGAACTTTGTTTAGTTTTTAGGGAGACTGAATTTGAATTGGATACCATTTCATGAAATTTTGCTGCATTTTTCTCTGATGTTGTTATGCTGAAAGCACAACTCATTCATAGGTATTCAGCGCTGCAGAAACATTGAATTGGCAATATGTTGGCAGTGCTGTAGCACATAGGTACTTAAATTATATTTATGCCTAGTATAAATAAGTGTACCGTAAGGTGGGGCTATTTGAGACAGTGGGGTGTTTTTAACTTTGATCAAAACAGTTGAGCTTGAGCTTAAACGCCAGTGTCAATCTGTCATCTCATAACACCCCGTGGCTTACATAAAACTTCTTGACTAGTAGTAGTACAAGTAGGCACCGATGGCGGCTGGCGCACAGAACTTGTCTAAAAAATTACGGCAGGATGTCAAAGTGATCTGTAAGAAAATAAATTATCTGCAACTCAGTCAATTAAAATCACAAATCATGCAAAATCCCTTGTTGTAAAAGTCAAAGTCACATAACAATATGACACATTATCCCTGGTGTTAAAACCCAAATAAACCAAACAGTCATTATCAAAGTATAGGTAGTACTGTGCAAGTCTCAATAATGTTTGAAAACAAGCTAAAAAGAAAAATACAAACCACATACCCCCAAATGTTCACATAAAACCCTACAAAATTCAACAACAAAACACACCATTCGACGCCGCAAAAACTACCGCTATATAGTGAAGAACAAAACTATTATTTTGATAAACTTTGTTTTTTTATTAAAACGAAAGGAATGACAAAACAACATCAATTTTAAATGGTTGAATTTTGAATAATCGGGATGAAAAAGCTAAAAAAAGTGTTGTAAATATTCTCCTTTGCATTTTCACCACTATAGCTTTCTTTACGTTTTCCTAGCGACCAGTATCAGTATAGCGCCTTTTGGGGCGACTAACGGAGCGAGCGAGGGGGTGAGTCTTGCACGTGCGAAATTTCGAGAGGGTACCTCCAACTGACTTGTGCACGGCACCCTACTGACCGGTTTCTAGCGATGTGCCAAATTTGAGCACAATCGGCCCAGCCGTTCTCGAGATCTGGGAGCGGCACCCTGCACGTGCGCACGTGCAAAACGGGTCCCAACTGACTTGTGCACGGCACCCTACTAACTGGTCCCTAACCGTGTACCAAATTTGAGCGCAATCGGTCGAGCCGTTCTCGAGATCTGGAAACGACCCCTGCACGTGCGCACGTGCAGCAGCACCCCAACTCTGGCACATGGATATGCAGTGCCTAGTGGGTGCCTACCTACATGCCAACTTTCAGCGCAATCGGCCAAGTAGTTACCGAGATATTGCAACAATTACAAAACTGACACCTCTTCGTTTTGCACGTGGCGTGGCACGTGCATAAGGGGTCACCCAAATGCATCGGGAATAGTCCAATACTTGGTAGAAGGAATGAAGCTACCCTATAAAAATTACCGCGTGTAAATCGGTCAAGTGGTTGCTGAGATATAAGCCTCGCAAAAGCGTCCGCACGGCCGGCCGGCCGGCCGGCCGCTCATACTCAGAAATTTCCGTTATTCTACGTAAGACTCCGCTCGCTTCGCTCGCTCCGTAACAAACTGTACACTTCTAGAGATATTTACAAAAGAATGAGAAGAAACGCTACGATTCGGTTGTCAATCGTAGTACGACGCGCATGTATCATGTATGTATCAGGGCACTAAAGAGTCGTATGTATGTATGTATGGTATGTATAAAAAGCCTTCCACATATGGAGTGGTGATTACGGCGATTACGGCTCGCCGGAGCGCCTTCAAAATTCAAACGCGAGTTGCGGAGCTCTGCGGAGTCGATTCATTTTCGGTGACTCCGACACCGATTTCAAAAAACCAACTCCGACATCGATTCCGGGCAGAATTGTCGACTCCAGACTCCGACTCCATCTCGATGATCCCTGCCGTCGAATGACGATTCGTCATAATTCATTGACGAATCGTCACGACACTTTTTGTTCCAGTTTGAATTTCATTGCCTCTCATATTCCGAAAACAACGAGAGAAATTACTGTTAAGTGTTACATTCAAATTTCAACAACTTTTTCAGTTTTCAAGCATTTCAGACAGTTGAGAATGCTTGGTGTACAAATATGTCTGGCGGATGACCACTTATTTGCTCACGCTTGCTGTCTGTGACATTTGTCTGAAGTTTCAACTTTTTGTGATATTGTTAAAATTACGCTAATTTTGTAGTAAAAAAACATTTTTGAATGGTTTATGATTTATTTCATGTACTGTAATTTAAAATTTCAAAATCTTATTTCCCAATTCAGTAAAACTTACTCGAAAAAGTCACGTGATAAACGAACTTGGGGTAGGTATGGCATTATTTGTTTGGTAGCGAACTGTACGCACTTGATGTGAAATCGAGGCAGATAAGTGTTGTAAATATTCTCCATCCAGAGGCAGAGGTAGAGAGGCCTTGGGTAGAGAGGAGGAGAGGGTGTGTGGGTTGTGTGGGTCAAGGCCCCAAGTGTGGGTGATCTATATACTATGGGTCAGGGTGTGTGTTTCGTACCCGTGGGTGTGTTATTGGCATTGGCGAGGACTGTGGTCAGTGGTGTATTGGGAAATTAATCATTTAAAATAATTTGAGTCTTTACTTTAATTTCGCCATAGCATTAAAACAAACTATAGCCATAAGCCATTGGTATTCTACTGTCAATCATTTGGTACAACGAAGGCCATCAGAAGGTACGGTCACTCCCCTCCCAGGTCCCGACTAATCAGAGACATCCTGAGTGACGTCCCCCTGATGCTCGCAAGGGGTACTCCATTCCTTTCCAACATGAAAATGACTATTTTCATTTGAAGATCATTGATGGCACTCTACAAATACCGCTCAACCATTAATGTCGATGGAAAGCCCAACTAATTTTCTAGCGACAAAAAAGGGCAGCAATATGCTAAGAAATAACTGGTTTTAAAGATATTGATAAAGACGATTTAAAAACCTTCTGCAGTAGCAGGAAAGCAGCGTAAAAATGCATCAAGCTTCAATTTTTAATACCTATGAAGAAATCATTTTTCAGTAAGTTTTTTGATAAGGTAGGTAACAATTTAATCATCATTGTTATTACAATATTTTTATTGTTTGTAACTTTATTTTCAAAACAGTATTTTCAAAAATGGCAGCTATTGGCAAGTAGCTTGGAAGCGATTGTGGCGCACCTGCCATTATTGTCCTGGGGGCTGGGGCCCCCTTAGGATGTCATCAAAACAGGAGTGACATGAGCCTGGGTGCAACATGAAAGGAACTGTAGACATTAGCTGATGTTATGCGCATGGTAAACCAGCTTTTCTTTTTACCATGTAACATTTGATTAACTCACCTGTTAATCAAATGTTACATGGTAAAAAGAAAAGCTGGTTTACCATGCGCATAACATCAGCTAATGTCTACAGTTCCTTTCATGTTGCACCCAGGCTCATGTCACTCCTGTTTTGATGACATCCTAAGGGGGCCCCAGCCCCCAGGACTTATAAGTTCATCATGAGCTAGACAAGGGGGTTATTCTGGTCTATGGGGTACCTACCTAAATTCCTTGCCTCTCACTCTGGATTTAGCCATCTGGGTTCCATTCCCAGGCAATCCAAGTGCAGCATTGATGCTACCTGGCTGCTTCAGCTTGGAACAGCATGAGAATACCAGTTAGCACTTGGTCCACTGGATACAGTGTTAAACTGTAACCCAAGCCAACCAACCATGAGCTATGCAAAGAGTTTTATAGCAGGTTCACTTCACTCACCTGTGAAGTGTTATATATGTATAGAGATTTTATAGCAGGCATCACTGGTGCTTCCACCCCTTTGGGAAGTCATTAGATATCCTGGTAAATGGTAATTGAGACATTTAAATGCATTCTGCCTATCAAATAGTCTCTTATAAAACAAAATCTAACCTGAGCTAACCTCGCCTCCTAACCTACAACCTATAACCTAATGATGTGCAACTTACAACAAAACTTGTGTAAATATCAAGCTGGTGAATCTAGTGTCCTTTCACAAAAGAGTGGCAGCACCTGTGATTCTCTTACCTGGTTGGGTTCCCATCAGTGTCGGAAAGAAAAAGGCAAGGTGGAAGGACCGAAAGGAATCCCTGAATGCCAGACGCGCCAGCCCAGTTGTGATATTCTTGACCATTACATTGTCCTGGGAGTTTTGACTGGTATTGTGCGTCTTCCACAAGCACGTCACAAGCATGTGTGATGCCTGCTAGAAGATTTCTGCTTGTTTTATCCTAAGTCCTTACAGTTTGTTCTGCTACTGAATAATGATAGTGTGTTTATTTTCAGGCTTTTGAAATGTCATCACTGAAGAACAGCAGCATGCCAATACCTGCCAATAAGTCAAGATAATCAATTGCTTTGTGAATGGCATACTGTTTGCCATGGCCTTACATTTCATTTACACCATAGTCATCTCATCACTGCTGCTTGCTGGCACCTGCTATGGTAAGAGTAATTTTCTGTCTATGTGTGTCCTGTTTAAGGCTACATTAAAGGGGAGGTTTTCTGTTAGCTTAGGGCTTAGTCAGACTGCAAAACGTGACATGTGCATGCCAGGAGGATGTGTGCCCAGTCTGATGGGAGTGCATTCCTGGCAAGTAGGAATGCACACCTGTGCCATAATTTGCATGCCTGACACATGGCGTTTCAAGTTCAAGCTTACATGCCTTGCATAAGCACAACAAGGTGGACTTTTTATTTTTGATATTCATTTGGGTAACAGTTTTTGTAGCCAATAACAAAATTGACATTAAGTTGGGGATTTGGGAACTTCTTTTAGTGGCTACATTACAGTGATAGAGGCATCATGTTGGTGGTAAATGCTGGCCAAGAACAACTGGTGGTCACACATACTGGTTGACCTGAACTGGCCCACAGCCGACCTACCCCAAATGCACGCATAGCATCATCAAACAAAACTCAAACAACCGAGTTACGCCATTTGACAGAGGCTCCTCCGCCCATCCCCTGTATAATATAAGCTGCACTGAAATGCCGAAATTTGTGATAATGTCCACACTAGTGAACTGTTGCACATTTGATCCCAAAGAACAGCGCGTCGCTGACACAAATGTGCGGTACTAGTTGGGTCACTTAAACAACGTCTGTCCACAAATTTCGCGTTTGTTTCATTAGCAAGCTTCGAGTTGGAGCTCTCCAGGCATTTACGCCCTGCCTCGTCATTGCATTCCTGCGCGCCTGGGTCTTGCATGCCTGAGATTTGTAATGTACGCCTGAATAAGGCTAGCAGAGCAGCAGTGCACGCCCGAGATCTCGTCAAAACTCACGTTTTTCAGTCTGGGTGTTTACCACCTTCAGGGGCTGAAAAAGTCGGCTCATATCTTGTTACAATAACCCTAAGATCTCATCTGATGAAATAGAAATACTAGAGGCCTGACTTCATCCAATTTCCAATGAAGGTGCAAGGCTGGGAGAGACTAATTAGCTTGTGGACTTTTGATCCTTTCAGATAAAATATTTACAGTGTTCCAGTGCCCCACCACCTACAGCTGGCATTTCGCACGTATATGTTGGTGGCCACTCACTGACCATCTGCCCTGTCTTCCTGCCGGGCAGGTCTCATATGCGAGTGCAGCGAGTGTCATGGCTCTCAGAATGGCACCTGCGAGACGGACGGCATGTGCTTCACCTCAGTGGAGCGAAAAAACCCCCAGTCGCAAGATATCACCAAAAAGTACAAGTTAGTATCAGGTGTCTGTTTTGGCAACATGCTATTGGGCTAGTTCTGCCATGGTTAAGTTTCAATGTGTTGTATGTATAGGTACTAATGGTAGTATGGGTCCACTCTGTCTAGCATTTATCAGGAACCTATGCATTTTGCACAATTTCCTGTATTTGGAAAGCTGGTATT